GTCCATTGTTACTTACCGAAAAAAGATAGATAGAATTAAGTAATTATCACGTAACTGAGAGATCACACGCACTGGCAATAAATCATGTTGTCGCGATGGATTTTCGACAAAAAACGAATGATTATATGCGCTATAGGTATATATATACATATAAATGTTTTCTTACTTAGAACTTTCTGATTAGCTGAAACGATGCAAATTTAACCGCGCGAGAATTGAAACATTATATAACATGATATAATATTATAGTTTCTTGTACATTGAAATCACAATGCCTATAATCTATATAGCCTATCATTCGAAAATATTAAATATATTAGATAGATCTTCTTATAACCTGAGATTACATTCTAGTTCTATATTTTCAACGATACTATGTGAAATATTTTTGATTTCAAATCTAATTTATATTCGTCTGAATTTTCAATTGTTAAAGTCATCAGTTCCAAATATGTGTATCTATATCAATTTTACCGTAGACGATCAGAATCTAAAATTTTAAAAGAAAATTTTTTTAAAAAATTAATAGAAATCACTTTACCGATGCCTACTATATTACTTTTTCTTCATTACGTAATACTATTAATGTTAATGATTTTTTGATACTCTTAAACTAATTTCATCTAAATTCATATAACGATTCTAAATTTTTCTTTCAATTTTATATCAGTGGCAAATGCACAAATATGTAAAAAGTGCAAAAATGTACGAAACGTTTACTTGGAGAAATGTTATGCTATATCTGGTTTGCGTTGTTCTGCTGTTTTTCATATACTTTTCTTACGTTGTGAATAATATTTTTAATTATAAATAAATTTTGTTTTTCTAAATTTTTAAACGCTTACTTTATTTACTTTAAATGTAGAAAAAGAACAAAAATAACGATCTTCGATTCTAATGCCTGTTTTAACTTTCTAACAAAAAGAGAGAAATGAATACTTTTTACTTGATGGATGTTTAGGTCAAAATTTATATTTTACGTTTATATATATTTTTAGATACATGTTGTAACAAAGCATCTAAAACTAATAACCAAATTTGCTGCTTTGTTTCATTATTTACGATTAAAGATAATAGAATAGAATAGCCCTAAAATTAATAGCTGTGCTCCTGCATAACATCTTAAAACTGCCTGTATAAGTTGACGTACAGCTACATATTAGATGAATATATGAAAACAAATTCTTAAAACATTTTTTAAAGTCACTAGTATCGTAAAATTTCACAAGGAAAAAAATAATTTTAATTATTCACTCTATTCTATATCAAAAAATGTAGAAAAACTTAAGTCAAAATATATGTATAAATAAAGATTTCATGCTATAAAATGAATCAAGACAGATCATCCTATGATATTTTTTTTAAAATTATAGAGTAATATATAAATAAAATTAAATCTGAAATTAATATTGAAAAAAAATACGAAAATACCAAACATAGTTGTATATACAGTTTAATCACTTTTCGGTTTGTCCCAGTTCTTTGCAATGTTTGTAAACATTAAATATATGTTGTAATTGCTAATCATAAGTTTCATAATAATTATAAAT